TTGGCTTTTTGCTTGTTTTCTTCTCATTTTGTCTGTTTACCCATGTAACCTGGATCCATTTTGGCCATTACCGGTCAACAACATGGATGTGTATTTCGGCTTGCGTGTCAAACACTCTAGATGCCAGAATGTATGCGGAATCCACAAATAGGTGGGGGATACTGAAGATAGAAAAGTCCAAATTCAGAAATCAATCCCAGAACCCATGCAGAATCCACAAATAGGTGGGGGATACTGAAGATAGAAAAGTCGAAATGAAAAAATTGATCCCACAATCTATACATCCCGAATCTACAAATAGTTTGGGTATATTTACAAAAGTAGGTGAAAATCACCTGGATCCAGCCATCCCCTTGCGCGAGACCTGGATCCTGGTAGGTGGGTGGCTGGATCCAGGTGATTTTCACCTACTTTTGTGAATATCCCCAAGCTATTTGTAGATTCGGGATGTATAGATTGTGGGATCAATTTTTTTCATTTCGACTTTTCTATCTTCAGTATCCCCCACCTATCTGTGGATTCGGCATGCGTTCTGGGATCTCCCATGTTTGCAAGGTTTTCATCAGGAAATTTCTCCCCGAACTTTCGGTCAACATTCCCTCTCCCTTTCCCTCTCCCTCTCCCTCCCATCGGTTTTCAGGACGTAACATCCTGAAAAAACTTTTCTATCACGGGGGGGCACTATATATATATAAATCACAGTTCACATGCAAATCATTTGAACTTGTATGCAGAGCAGCAAGAACTGGGCAAGAGGCTGGTGCCTCATGGTTTTCACCAACTTGGTGTTTTTCTACAGTGAATATCCCCAAGCTATTTGCTGATTCAGCATAGAGTCTGGCATTTAGTTTTTAGTCTGGACTTTTCTATCTTCAGTATCCCCAAGCTATTTGCTGATTTGGCATAGATTCTGGGATTGATTTCTGAATTTGGACTTTTCTATCTTCAGTATCCCCCACCTATTTGTGGATTTTGCATAGGTTCTGGGATTTAGTTTTTTAATTTGGACTTTCCTATCTTCAGTATCCCCCTATTTGTGGATTCTGCGTGGACTGGCATTTAGCCCAGGGATCTTGATTGATGCCAGAATCTATTCAGAATCCACAAATAGGTGGGGGATACTGAAGATAGAAAAGTCCAAATTCAGAAATCAATCCCAGAATCTATGCCAAATCAGCAAATAGCTTTGGGGATACTGAAGATAGAAAAGTCCAAATTAAAAACTAAATGCCAGACTCTATGCTGAATCAGCAAGTATTCACTGTAGAAAAATACAAGTTGATGAAAAGCATGAGGCACCAGCCTCTTGCCTAGTTCTTGCTGCTCCGCAAACAAGTTCAAATGATTCCCGTTTGAACTTGGATGATGATGCTGCCACTCGCACGCCGCTCGCACGCCGCACACGGATGATGTATGAACCCCAGCTGAAACTATAGAATCCTCTTCCATATTCCTCTCCATTGGCTTTTTGTTTGTTTTCTTCTCATTTTGTCTGTTTACCCATGTAACTTGGATCCATTTTGGCCATTACCGGTCAACAACATGGATGTGTATTTCGGCTTGCGTGTCAAACCCTCTAGATGCCAGAATGTATGCGGAATCCACAAATAGGTGGGGGATACTGAAGATAGAAAAGTCCAAATTCACAAATCAGTCCCAAAGCCTATGCAAAATCCACAAATAGGTGGGGGATACTGAAGATAGAAAAGTCCAAATTCAGAAATCAATCCCAGAATCTATGCCAAATCAGCAAATAGCTTTGGGGATACTGAAGATAGAAAAGTCCAAATTAAAAACTAAATGCCAGACTCTATGCTGAATCAGCAAATAGCTTGGGGATATTCACTGTAGAAAAACACCAAGTTGGTGAAAACCATGAGGCACCAGCCTCTTGCCCAGTTCTTGCTGCTCTGCATACAAGTTCAAATGATTTGCATGTGAACTGTGATGTATATATATATAGTGCCCCGCCATGATAGACAAGTTTTTTCAGGATGTTACGTCCTGAAAACCGATGGGAGGGAGAGGGACGGGGAAAGGGAGAGGGAGAGGGTGAGGGAGAGGGAGAACCGAAATTTCGGGGAGAAATTTCCTGATGAAAACCTTGCAAACATGGGAGATCCCAGAACGCATGCCGAATCCACAGATAGGTGGGGGATACTGAAGATAGAAAAGTCGAAATGAAAAAATTGATCCCACAATCTATACATTCCGAATCTACAAAAGAGCTTGGGAATATTCACAAAAGTAGGTGAAAATCACCTGGATCCAGCCATCCCCTTGCGCGAGACCTGGATCCTGGTAGGTGGGTGGCTGGATCCAGGTGATTTTCATCTACTTTTGTGAATATTCCCAAGCTATTTGTAGATTCGGGATGTATAGATTGTGGGAGCAATTTTTTCATTTCGACTTTTCTATCTTCAGTACCCCCCACCTATCTGTGGATTCGGCATGCGTTCTGGGATCTCCCATGTTTGCAAAGTTTTCATCAGGAAATTTTTCCCCGAAATTTCGGTCAAAATTTTCCCGTCGGTTTTCAGGATGTCGGGTCAAAATTTTCCCGTCGGTTTTCAGGACGCAACATCCTGAAAAAACTTTGCTATCTTCTTGGGGGGCACTATATATATTTTTTTTATTTATTGAACATTTTTATGTATTGTGTAAGAACTTTTGGTTTCAGGTCTTATCTGTATGCGCTACATATCCAAGTTTATACATCAGGCACAAAAAATAACTATAAGGGCCTGAAAGCAAACCCATCAATCAGCTGGGAAAATTCAGTTTGATAGAAAAGTGTTGTAATGCAGCCATTTTTGCTATGAAATATATTCTATTGGGTCAATGAATATCAAAGTGCCGACAAAGAGGAAAAAAAAACAAATTTGACCGGTTGCGCCACGATCAACGATAGGGTGGTGCTTGCTTCTATGGGATGTCTTTTCAGCAAAGCAACGGGACTGTATGAACAACAGGAAACAGCACTTTAGATTGACAGGAAATTTCTTGTTGTGTCCAATCCGTGCGGCATCTTCCTTACAGAGTTCCTTGCATCTCAAGGAGGTATGGATTTTTCTAGGATAGACAACCGCGCCAGCTGTTGTGAGCGTTTTGAAAAAAAATCGTTTTCGCCATAGCGAAACTACTGACTCATTCTCCAAAATAGGCTTACAATTCCCCGGGAATTTGAAGTATTTTTTTGATGATGACCTGTAATTTACAGGGAATTTTCTCTTGAAAACGTGCGCGGTGTTTTCTTCCCTCTCACAACGCCATGCGGTCCTTCAAGGAGCATCTAGTGACCTCCAAAAGGTTTTTCGTTTTGGAATGTTTTGGAGTTCATCCTCCAAAAGCCTCGTAACTGAGCCACAGAATGTTTTTTCCGCAAGAATGACAACAGCTTCTGTCCTAGACTTTCACACGAGGAAACATTATGTATCCTCTTTGATCCCCTTTTGATCACTGACAGCTTGCCTCCATTTTTGGAGGCCCAACCCAGTGCCGTGAAGTAGCATGCGCATGTGACGCAAGTTAACCTAAACGTTAACATCGCCCCCTCCAAACCAATGACGTGACATAGCATGTGCATGCGACGCAAGTTAACCTGAACGTTAACATCGCCCCCTCCAAACCAATGACGTGACGTAGCATGCAGCATGTGCATGTGACGCAAGGGAACATGAACGTTAACATCCCCCCCACCCAGTGACGTGACGTGGCATGCGCATGTGACGCAAGTTACCATGAACGTTAACATCCCCCCAACCCAGTGACGTGACGTAGCATGTGCATGTGACGCAAGTTAACATGAACGTTAATACCCCCCTCAACCCAGTGACGTGACGTAGCATGTGCATGTGACGCAAGTCAACATGAACGTTAACACCCCCCCAAACCAGTGAAGTGACGTAGCATGTGCATGTGACGCAAGTCAACATGAACGTTATTACCCCCCCTCCCGGACCGCTTCAAAAATGAATGTTTTCATTTTTTACTGCTTCCATCACGCCCACGCACCTCTCGGCTAGCTGAGCGATGAGCGACGCATCGAACACCGTTGGAAAATGAATGTGTTTCAAAAACGTGCACGACTACTGGAGCAGTTTTCCCCCGCTGGCATAAACATGTTGTTCTCTTGAAAAAGTCGGTGCTTTTTAAACACCGTATCAAAATAGATTAAAGGGTCAACAGCATGCTTCTCATCAGTCATCATTTGAAGGAATGCGGCATCCTTTAACGAAATTGCGGCATACCTCCATGCATTTTTTTGTGCAGACAGGGTAACATTCCTCTGATAAAGCGTCTCATTAATGGGAAGCAGAGCAGAACCGTGAGATGTGCACAGCCTTCCTTTAAAAAGAACGCACCATGTCTTCCATATATTCTGGAGCAAATATAGCATGCCTTCCATGGAAATAGTGCTATTTCAGACAGCCTGTCTCCAAGGCAAAATTTGAACATACACATTAACAATGAATTTTCAAGAATGCGGCATTCTTGTAACAAATTACTTGACAATTTCATTAAGCATTAAGTTAAACCATGGTGTTATGCAATTTTCTTTCGGAAAAAAAACATTCATTTGGAAAAAACGTAGCATTATTTCAGAATAATATGCTGCATTATATTATATCATATATCCTATTTCATTGAAATCTATTGATTATTTTACATGTATACACAGAGTTGTTTTCAAAAGTGCGCGGCATCCCTTTGAGAAAGTAGCCTTCAGGACGCACAGCAATCCTTGTGAAAAAATCATTCGAACAAAAATCATTTTCCGTGCAGAAAGTCGAACATTATTTGTGAAAATGTATTTTTCTATAAGCAATTGCACTTTGAGAAACCACTGTATTCCTTGAGGACAGCATGCCCGTCAGGGGCTCGTGGCTCTTCCCTTTTTTGCGGGATCCTTCCAGCCATTCGCGGTCCAGGTGCCTTGAAAGTTGTTGGAAACGGTTGCACATTGAAAAAGTCCATTGACCATTCATGCAAACGACGGTTCAAAAGGGTTCTAACAAGTAAGCATTCATTAAGCTACGAGCCTAACGTCGCGACCGCGAAATTCCCCAGACATAAAAGGAACTTCAACATCCAAAAACTAGCAGCCCACAAAACCAAACTGCGGATTTTCCTTGAGTTGAAAGCGCCTCAAAAGTCTCACCATGTTACACTGCTCGATTTGTGCAGTGTCAAGTGACAAACATGACTGCTATGGCATGTACATGTACTGATGCAAGGTGCGTTACATTTCTGCACCCCGCCTCAGACTGTATTTTCAATACTAGTCTGTACATTCCTAGTCTCACCCCTTAGGACTGTGGATAGTCCATCGTTTCGCTTCTATTGGGGTTTTCTGCGCTCTAAAAAAATCTGTGCACTGGATCCCACAAATGGCTCTCAATCTAGCCAGTTATGGAACCACTTCTGTGGTGCTGCCTAATCCACGCTCAGAATCCTCTCAGAATTCCATGGGATCATTTGTAGTCCCATCCATTGCATCATCTCCACTGTCATCTTCTTCCGGTGGTCCGTAATGAACTGTAGCCCAGAGATCTGGGTCTGATACTTCACATTGCTCTGAGTCTCTGTACCTTCGCATCTTTTCCTCGTTGGTCTCTTCCAAAGAGCTTTCGGGGCTTGGTGGAGTTCTGAGTGCAACTCCAATTCCACGGGCCAGCTCCACCACGTTCTCGAACCTCTCAAGCTCGAGGAGCTTCACCACTAGGTGGAAGATCTGTCCATGGGTTGCAGTAAGTAGTTCACGCTCCACCACCCCATAGCCATATGTCGGAGAACCATCCTCCTCATCCAGCTCATTCTCACCTGTGAGGGAAGCTTGAATGCGCTCCCTTTGAGCTGGGCTTGCATGCAAAAGTTCTGCAAAACGTTTCTGAAGCCAATCCCGTGACTGTGTGTACTTTCTGATTCTTCCATAGTTGTCGTCTCGAATTGCTCTTGCAAGCCTGCCCAATACTCGGGCATATGTCCATGTCAGCAACCCTTCCAGTGTCATGGTATCATGTGTAACCACTGGTCCAACTGCAAGTTCAGTTGGTGTAGGAGGTAACATCGGCACTGGCACTGGACGAAGAAATGGGCTGCGTAACATCCACCATGTATATGCTGCAAGTAACAACGTCCACAAGGTCAAAATCAGAAATGAAAATGGATTGGTTCCAGTGTCTTTGTGAGCATCTTCATTCGTCTCAGCTTGAAGACATCCTCCAAGTCCCATGGTCATACTACTCTGCAATGAAATCATCATGGCGTGTGCTGTACTCAACCTTCTCTTCTTTGCCTCTGATGGCTCGTCTGCTGCATATGTTGGGCTTCCTTCATCAGACGAAAGGTCTGGCATCGTGTTGAACATGTCTGCTGCTTCTTGCCTTACATTGTCATCGGAACCCATCACATGATCAAACAGATCTACCAACAGCGTCATGCGTTCTGTGTAGGCTAATGCTCTGATGTTGTTTCCACTGCAAATGGAGTCCTCACGTCGACGGAAGCATCTTTCAAACATCCATGAAATCAAAGATTCAGGACTGAATGCAGGAAAGTCTGGAAGACCATCACAAGATTCCGTCTCGCTGCAGGACATTTCCACAGAAGTCAAATCATCGTCGCTGGCCAAAACTTCGTTGCGCACAGGCTGATCACTGTGCATCCACAGGAATACCATGTACAAAGTCAACAAAGTAATCCAACTTGTCACAATGGTTGCCTGCATGGTCAACCCTTGAAAATTGTCGTCCATGGCTCTAGCTGGCACGTCCGACCCGCAACCCTGAAGAAGTAAGCTCAAGGCGCCGATCAACATGTTGATCTGATATCTGGAAGCGCTGCTCTGCTGAGGCTGAGGAACATTTCTGAAAATTCGACCTGGGTCATGTTGTCCCACAAGGTTGTTGTTTGCACTGTCCCAGATACCAAACAGATACAACAATGATTCCAATCTGCTGATGCTGAGTCTTTTCGTGGCTATATCAGATGGATTGATTGCTCCTAAGACTGCTTTGACCATCAACAGTCTTTCACCAACCAAGTTTTGAAGCCAAAGGACTCGACAACTGAGGTGACGCAAGCGACCAACTCCACGTCTTGATAGAATTCCACGTGCTGCTGACGAATCGATGTACAAACACATGAGAATGGTTGACTGAAGTACCCATGAAATGATGGCTCTGATGAGAATTGCATCCATCACTGCGCTGGCTGCTGCATACGTTTCTAACTCTGCGCTGGAAAGTGACACAATCTTCTGTGTTCGACTGGAGGAGTAGACCAAGCAACCTCCAAAGAAAATGGCAGATCCTGACACTGATCGTCGAGTGTTACGGTCTGATGCCCAATCTGCATCACTGAACACTTCCAGCACTGGTTCTTCACACTCATAGTCTTTGATGAGTCCAGAATGGATTCCCTTCCATCTGAGAGAAACATGTTGGTCTGCATGACCAGCCAGATATCCCACCAGGTGCTTCAGCACAATCATCGTTTTCTGCGTTGGCTTTGATGAGAACGTCGAGAGATATCTAATCACATACTGACATTGTGGAAGGTCAGGTGAAAGATAAAGCAAAATCCCCACGCATGAACGGTAAATTGATCCATCATGAGCACTCAGCTCCTCTGTCTTGTCAGGGATTTCAATCTCTGAATGTCCAGGTGATTTCTTGTTCTGCAAACGCTTTGACAGTTGTAACAACTTGCAAAGTTGATCCAAATGCTTTCCATGGATCTTCACCACCATACGTCCAGATTCCAAAAGTTGGTGGGTGCGCTTGAGAAAAGTCAGTTCATCACCAACGTTGGACATGATCTCGATGGAAACTTCATACCTTGACTGCATGTGTGGGATCAGCTGTTCTGTAACTGTTTTGCGTGACCCTACCACCAAGAGGTCATCCACGTGAATCATCAGCAAGCAATCACCAAGTTTGGAACGTAGGATGGATGGATAAGCTTCAAATTCCTCCATCCCAAGGGTGCTTTCACCAACAAACTTGACCAAATCTCGATGCCACAGAAGGCTGCCATCACGCTGACCCGGGAGAACTCGACCTAAGCTGTATGAAACGCTTTTCCCTGAGGCATCTGTGCAACGTACACGTGTTGGCTGTTCCTGCTTCACTGTCAAGAAAGCGTCTTTGACGTCAATGGCCAACATCATCGTGTCTTGATGCTCTCGCAGGGCCAAAAAGCAAATGGGCAAAATGCGGCTGGCAATGTTCGAAGTAGCCGGTGAGAAAAGTGCTTCTCTGTCAGGCTGCAACCATGTGTACTCCCTTGCAACCAAACGACTACGACGTAACCAGATAGCATTGCCTTCCTTGTCCTTCTTCTCTCTCCAGGTGCGCACAAAGCGTGTGCTCAAGCTCTTGGCATCGTGAGGCAAATTGTCCTCCTGCAAGACTTGGAGACCAGATAGCCTTTCGACCTCCACTTGATCTGCAATGCTGTCCAAACGCTGAAGCTCATCTGCACTGAGTTCAGGCTCTTGAGGACTGTATGGAAAACTGAGCACATCTAAGTTGGGTCCCTCATCATCCATGGTCTCATAGGGATCCTCGTTGAGATGCAATTCATGCTGAATCATCGTGTCAACTTCATCAATCTCAAGGTTGACATCAGGTTCAATGTCAAGGTGCTCAATCTTCAAAATCTGCCCCAAAAGTCCAAGATGTCCAGTGTCATCGCGCTTGGCAGCTTTGCTGACAGGCTGCATGCTTTCAAAAGAAGCATCATCCAAGACTTCAACTGCTGTTTCTGACTGTGGCGTTTGTGGAACAACGTCTCCATGAGCTGAAGAAGCTTCCACTGCTGTTGCATGAAAACGCTTTGGATCACCACCAGTCACTTCATGTTGTGTGTCGTGTTTGCCAGTGGATTGTGAGGAAGTTTCACCATAGACGGGGGTCTGAGGTACGTCCACATTCATAGATTGGGCCCTTGAGTCACGTTTTGCTGCTGCAATGGCCTCTTCTAAACCTTCATCGTTGAAGATGGGGTCTTGTTCACCATCTTGCGGCTGCTGGGCTTGACCAAGCAGCCCCGCCTCGGCAGAGATTGCAGTTTCGTCAACATCCTCAAAAGGGTGTGCTCTGGCATACTCTTGAACATCCTTTGCATCTCTGTCTGGCAGTCGAAGGCTGTTGTCAAACGCAACTGCAGGTGGTGGAACAATACGTTTTGCATGGACAAGTCTGTGCCCCAAACTTGCACATCCATAGTTCCAAGGTGAAGCTGTAAGTTCTCCAAGCAACTCCAAATCAAAGGAAGTTGGCAATCTTCTGATGCTGCGTGTAAGAAAGATTCCGTTTGGAGTTCCAATGATGTGAGAGTCATTTGAAATGGCTTTGCTGAGCCACACACCACGTGTCCATTGAGGTAAACCCTTTTGGCTGGTACGCAAGAAAACATCGCCATCTTTCCACTGTAAAATCGTCCACAAGCACGTTCATATGCAGTTGTAGCACTCTTCACTGTGAAATGGTTGTGCAACCAAGAAGAATGAACAATAGCCCATGTGTAAACCGGGTGACGACATCCAAAAATTGGCTCTTTGCATCCAGTTTCCCATTCAATCTGAGATACCAGCAAGTTGGCTTTGGCTCTGATCACCTCCACCATTGCCTCTGCTGCGCCGTTTGCCCTGTGGTCTCCTGTTGGAGCAGGTTCAGCATGGGCTGTAATCCTCAACGTTGCACATGCTTTTCGAACTGCTTCAAGCAAAGAAAGAGTTGATGGTTCTGAATCACAACTCAAACCAATTTCAGTGTGACCACAATGGACAATGAAGCGGCACATCTCAGTGACAAGGTAATTGAGGCTTCTGCCACCCTTCTGTTGTGTTGGCAGGGCAATGCACATTCCAGTGTCACGGTCAGTCACAATCAGCACTGTCAACTTGTCTGACTCATCACGCATTCGAGAGCAGTAAAAGAAATCAAATGACACAACGCTATGGTCAGTTGTTTCATGAGTCTGTCTCTTGTGACCATCTTGCTTTGCGCGGTGAGCAACACACAAAGGACACCATGTTTCATAAGGCTCATGCACCAAGTTGTGGGCCTGTTTCATGGACTCCGTGGGCTCAACAGGTTTCTTCTGAGGGATTGCAACACGTTCTGAATCCTTTTTGAGGGTAGCCTCCACTGCATGGGCTTCCATGAGCTCACGAGTCTTCACAAACTCCAACATGCGACGCATACATTCCTTTTGGACCCACGCTTTGACAAACCCAAAACTTCACATCCAGCTCGAAGAGCTTTCAAAGTGTTGTCACAACTGAGCACTACTCCATCAACTGTCACTGTACTCTCATCTGCAAATGGCACAACGCGCTCCTCATCCAACGGCTCTGCATCAGGCAATTCAGCTGGGACCTCTTGCACAGGTTGTGGGGCATGTTCCTGTTCACCTGTGTCACCATCACCAGCTTCTCCAACCAAGACATCTGCGTCAAAATGGGGTGCCTGTTCTCCATCTACCAAGGCAAAACCAAGCTGTTCTGAAGCAACGTTGTGAGCACGCGCAAGTGTGAGAACTTCTACAACAGATTCTGGGTCGTAAATTTCACCTTCCAAGTCTTCCATTTCTGAGATGGGTTCTCCAAATTCAAGTAACTCCCAACCTTGAGCATCTCGAAACACCAGCGTTGTTCTGTACCACATCATCTCACCTCCAGGGCAAAGTGTAGTATCCACAAACCTTGCACGTCGAGTGGTCAATGCATAGACCTGTGGATTCACTTTGTTCCATCCAGGGAGTAAACGTCTCAACACTGGCTGCAAATGGATTGCTCTCAAGGCCTTTGGTCCTGGAGCTGTTGAAGTTGGACTCAAACAGTCATCCTCAGAAATCATTCGAATGGAACCTTTCACACAAAGTGAGTTGCGCTTGAAGCTCACGTTGACAAACTTGCCATTCTTCACAAGAAAAACTCCATCACTGAAATGCTGAATCTCCCAGCCTGCTCGAACTATGTGACCAAGTGCAAGCAAAGGACAACTGATGTTTGCAATAATGAAACGTTCACGCAAAATCACTCCATTGCCAAGGTCAACAGTTGCAAGTCTTGTGTCACGTATGTCAAGTTTTCCACCTTGTGCATCTATGAAGTCTTGTCCAGCTGTCTCATGTTGACATGATTCACCAACATCAGCGTAAGTCAACGGCAGTGCGCTGGTATCTGCACCTGAGTCCAAAATGATCTCGGCAGAAGAAACACCTGCAAAAGACATCATCCTGACATGGTGCAAACGGTTGGGCTCATCATGCAAAGTTGGTGAACACGTCCAAACATTGTCATCATCACTGCAAGACATGTCAAAGTGGGTGACATCTGACTGCTGCAACATTCGAACAAGGCCAGAACCAGAAGTTCCTGAGTTCGAAAATTCTGTGAGGTCCTCAATGATCACAGTGCTATCGCTGAAAGCAACACGGTTGACATTCCCAGAAGAACGATATGCTGAAGAACTGGGTGAATGTTGTGCTGTTCCAACACTGCTTGGGCTTGATGCTGCATGTTGAGATGATCCATCAGCTTCAACTTGACGAACAACACCATTGGCTTTGTCAGCCTGAAATTTGCGGCAATCTCGTTTCCAGTGTCCCATGGCACCACAGTAGTTGCATCGGTTAACATCAGCGGTTTTCGACTGTGTTTTCCCACTTCCTTTGGAGGGAGATCCATAACCTTTGCCACTCTGCTGGGATTTTCCCTTGCCTTTGCCACCATCTTTCGATTTGCCTTTGTCTTTTCCTTTCCCTTTCTGTGTTCCTTTGCCTTTCTGTCCCTTTCCTTTGGACTTCCCTTTGACCTGGTTGATCTCCATTGGAACCACACCTGAATCACCAGTCGCATAGGAAGTCACTGTACCAAGGGCTGTACCATTGATGTCAGCCATCACTCTGTCTTTAGACCATGTTGAAGAAATCCTTTCATGAGCAAGAACTTGTTCACGCACTTGTGTGTATGTTGCATCTTCTGTCATTGTCAGCTGTACGTGGCGTTGAACATCTTTTGGCAAAATGCGCACCAACGTGGACAACAAAATGTCAGGAGCAACTTGATGACCTGCGCTCTTGGTGTACTCGTCTGACAGTCTTTCCAACAGAAGGATCTGTTCCAGCAGAGTCTTATCCTTGGTCATCACCGGGAACTGCATCACAGCATTGAGCAAGGCTAAACTGCGGCCTTTGGTGCGTGGCACGTACAAGGCACTCAGTTGCCTCCATGCCTCCAGTCCATTCTGATGCTGCACCTGCCTCAGAATCTTCAATGGCCTATGTTTCAAGATTCCACCCAGGATGAGAAAGAGTTTCCTGGATCTCTCCTTCGAAGCTTCCCCGGCTGCAGTCTCATTGAAGGTTACTGTCAAACCAGGATTGTCCTCTATATGCTTGAAGTCAGTACTAGTTACGTAAGGGGGAATCCACCCAAAACCCTCCCAGTCTAAAACCTTGCGTGTCTTGCGCATTGTCTATTTCTTTTAATTATTATAAAACTCTCGGAAACGCATCGACGCCAAAGACCTATCGTGAGGCTATCGCCACGGTATGAATAAAAACAATATATGAAAAAGTGCAGATATACGAACAGCTTCACTCAATGCAGGCAGCTTCAAAACAATTGATCCTTTTTTCCAATTCTTATTTGTCCGATGGTTGGCTACCACAACCTGATCCATCGCTCAACACTGCCCATCTCGAATGGGACGCCGAGTGTATGAGCCCCAGGTGTGGGTGGGTGGGCTAAAAAATTTGCACCAACCCAAAAATCTTGATCCACTAAACAGTTGAGGAATAATCATATAGATTCTTTGTGCTTTCGATTCCGGAAAGCAGTAAGTACAGATTTCACCAAAGGTTTGTTTTTACACTGCCGGTAAAAACTACAAACCCAGTATCCCATAAACCGGAAACCAAAACGAAACAAGTGGTTTAAACAGTTAAAGAGAAAGTTCACTTGTTGTTGTCGAAATGGTTTCAGGATACTTCCAAGTTACTTGTTGCAAGATCTTCCGCAGCAACGAGAACAACCGCGCGAGAGGACGCGTACCGAGGAGGAAGGTGCGCACAGTAAACACGCGTGGTAAAGACCGGGTAAGTGCAAGACATTAACCGGCTTGCACAACCAACTCTTACGTCCGAATACACAGTCGCAACAGGTCGCGATTGCGTACTAGTTACGTAAGGGGGAATCCACCCAAAACCCTCCCAGTCTAAAACCTTGCGTGTCTTGCGCATTGTCTATTTCTTTTAATTATTATAAAACTCTCGGAAACGCATCGACGCCAAAGACCTATCGTGAGGCTATCGCCACGGTATGAATAAAAATAATATATGAAAAAGTGCAGATATACGAACAGCTTCACTCAATGCAGGCAGCTTCAAAACAATTGATCCTTTTTTCCAATTCTTATTTGTCCGATGGTTGGCTACCACAACCTGATCCATCGCTCAACACTGCCCATCTTGAATGGGACGCCGAGTGTATGAGCCCCGGGGAACCGAGGTCGGCCCTTTCACCATGGTTCAAGTGAGGAAGTTTTCTTTCTCTTCTTTGCAGGTGGAGCTTGCGGCTCAGATTTCCGTTTCGTCATTTCAGTATGGAAAGAATTTGCATGTAACATAAACTCATCCAAAACATGCCAACTTTGTTGTGTTGGATCCCACCTGACCCTGTTCTCCTGCTCGAAGTGGTCAAACTTTTCGTTGGTGAGATCGTCCGCAAGTTGGTTCGATTCACGTGGAATCCAATCCAGCGTCAAATTGCACCGTGACAACCTCAAGGATTCCGAAAGCTCCATGATGAAAACCGTCAAAGGAAATTTCGTGCTCATCCATCTAGATATGGCATAGGTGTTGGACTGGTTGTCCGTATTGCCCCGTATCCAGCAGGTTGCGTCCGAGGCCTCACTTGTATGAGGCATCCATAATTTTACTGCCACCAAACTTGCCAGGAGCTCGAGAGCTGCAATGATCCTTTTGGGATCTCTTTTCAAGTGAAGCCAAGGCGCCCAGCTGGATGAAATCTCCTCTGAAAACCAGGCTGTTATTTTTCCATCTGGACCTTGTTTGAATCCCCCGATCCATGCGCCGGATTCTGTGGCCTTTGCATCCGTGCAAAAAACCAGATCATTTCTCAGGGGTCTCTCAAGCGGTGGAGGACTCTGTAAATCACCTCCCGTAGCAAAACGCTTCGCCAAAAACTTGAGTATCGTCCTCAACATGGCCGGTATCCGCAAGGAACCCGTTTTGTTGCGCACTGCAGCGCTCCAGTTGTAAAGTGGGCCCAAAAAGGGCCTCTCCCACGTCAGCGCCAGTGATGCGAAACCCAAACGTCCCAGGCCCTGCTCAAAGTTCCTTGCCGTTGTCACTCCAGAAGTGGCCAGGCCCAGTACCCAGTCGTGCATCCACTGCGCACGTTTTGGCGATAGTCCTAACTTGTAGGCTGCGTAATCCGTGTAGAGGCCTATCCATTCTACTCGAAGACCTCCTCTCTGTTTTGCCCACTTGAATGGAAAACCCAGCACTGACATGTAAAGGAAAGCTAAAGTGATCCCCCTCCGTCCTCCAGCGCTGGCTCCTAGTGCCTCCAAGTCGTCGGCAAATAGAAGAAGCTCCACCGGCATGGTGGGTCCCAGAAGTTCATGTGTCAGCCTGATACCAGCTCCTGCAATACGTCCCCACCAGTAAGACGCACAAGCCAAGCCAAACGTTCCCACTCTGTTGATGTAAATAAACTGGTCCGATTCAAGTATGCGGCACGCCAACAAGCCTCTCTCCTCTGGCGCATGCAAGAAACGTCTGTGAGCCTTGCTGATGTCGCCCACCAAGCTGAAAACTGAGCACCGGTTTTTCTGGAAATAAGCCAGAAGGTATTGCTTTTCTCTCGCGCTCGGACTTCTGGTCTTATCCCGGCATCTGATCCTGTTATTCACCTTGGTGCCGTGAGTGGCGTCGTGGATCACCCTCTTTTTCCCATTATGATTCTCCTCAACACGTACTGCCAATGAAGAGATGGCAATTCTGTCACCATAACGCTCTTTGGCCTCTGCTATGGTGAGCTTTTCCATGAGCCCCTCCGAGCACTCCTCGTCAAAATGGTCCCTGACAAATTGCACGTGCTCCTCAACAGACTGATAGTTGGAGCGCCATATCTCTTCCTGCATAAAGGGTTCGTCCTCCAAGCGCCATGAAGTTTGCTCTTCATAGGCATGTGGTGTGCGTGGCAGTGGGTTCAGCACTCCCACTGGGAAACCTGTCTCTCCTTGCAGTAAAAAATTACAGTCTGCGTCCTCTCCAAACTTCAAGAGCTCCTTCATCAGACGAAGGTAAAATGGTTGCCCAGCGGCCACATGGTCCAAGTCAGTTTGAGTTGAGCCATGTCCTTCAAGTAGTGAGATCCAAAACTTTCTGATCTCACCTTTCAATGTCTCGTCACGCACTATGCTGCAGCCCTTCTCGCCCTTCACCGCCATCTCAAAACATGCTCTGTCAAGTGCTCTTGCATCACCCAGGTGCTTTTCTATCAAAGCCACTGTACCCGCTCTCAGTTGCTTCCAAAACTCTCCCATGCTCCAAATCCTATTCTCCACGTCCCATCTCCCCATAGAAAGGAGGCCAGCCCCATCATGGAAGAGCCTGTCCTTGCCAGGTGGTTGGCACTTGCGGGGGTCTCCAAGTCCCCCAACCAGCTTTCTGCCGTCTGGTCGTAAAATCTCATATTTGTCCTGCACTCCCGAGTTTGTACCCTGAGCTCCATCGTCAGCGAGGACTGCAGGCCCTTGTTTGTATATTGCACAAAATTGTTCCAAAATTTCTGTTGCTATCCATTTGCACATATCCGAAGGCCATTGCTCAGACCCTGTTGTTGCAAACCCGTTGCCACTTCTCCCCACCAGTTGACGCTTTGCAGAGCGCCTTTCCAGTGGTCCTGCATAAAAACCCTGGTCGTCAAAGCAAGGTGGACCCAAAGCAAAATGCTTCGGCAGCCGTCTGAAGCCCCCCAGTAAAAGCCTCGTGGGCTTTAAATACTCTGTACCAAAGTCTTCCTGATAAAACGCTGCCGTATCCACCTTGTCCCAACGTAAAAGTTCCAAAAACTTCTCAAATTGCCACATGCTGCCGGGTCGAATGCCCCGGTTCTCACCTGCTTGAATGGCACCCAAGTCTTCCGGGTTTTCGAAAAGTGCCATAGCCTCCACATGAACCATCTGTTTCTCAAAGGCCTTGTAAGAAAAATCTGTCAAAATATTACCCCAGTTCGCCCGTTTGCGTTCCGGCCAAGATAGCCGCACAAATCCTCTGAGCCTCACATAAGACCGAACTGGTCTCGGGCCTTTGCGGTTTGCCCAGGTCGCCCTGCTGAAGGTGCTGCAAGGCGGGCTTATGAGCAGTGCAAAATATCTCCCAGCAGCTATCTTGTTTAACAATTGCTGCTGAACCTCCTCTTTGGTGATATCAAGGTGTGGTTTGACCTGTATGTCCACCATCTCAACTTCCACGGTCACGCCAAGTTGTTTTGACAGTTTGCGCAACCAAGATGAAACTGAATTCTTTCTGGGCCTGCCTGAAAAAACGTAAAGGACCCTGCATATTCTTCTTGAAGTTGCATGCCCTTTATCGCTGTGTGCCTGTTGCACCGTTGGTCAGACTGATCCAGTGGTGTCCAAAGGCGCCTTGTCCTCCTTGCAGTTCAATGCGCTGTGCCCCTTCTTGAAGCACCTGTTGCACAAATGCGAGAACTTGCACTTCTGGTAACTGCACTTCCCCTGGTTGAACCTGAAACAGATCTTCGAACCATCAGGCGCCGATGCGGCCCCTTTGCCCTTTGATTTGCCCTTTCCCGGGCCTTTGGCTGACTTACCTTTCCCCTTTGGGTTCCAATCACCCCAGGAGGCACTTGGATTCGAACGCTTGCTGTATAGTGCAAGTGGTGTAATGAAGTGACGCTCTTTGGTTGTTGGGCACTTCCAAGCTTGTTCAAGTGCTGCCCCCAATTTCAAATGATCACTGACCATCAAACTGTATGCACGTTTCCTCACAGCATGTTCGTAACTGAGGATAAGACTCCATGGAGGCGTCTGGATCTGGTTTCCCTGCAGGTCAGTCGAAGATAAGCCCCAGACGTAATCGCCAAGGATGTAGTCCTTGTAGCGTTCCATGATGTCTCTGTTCATGTCCTGTATCTCTTCACGGTTCGTGTGCTTCAGTGCCAACATCAAAATGCAATGCAACATCACAGAAAGTCTGCGTCTGAGCTGTTCGGGGCCAGTTGGAAGCGCCACCGTTGTTGAGCCCCTTTTCACTGACAAGGACCCTTTCGAGTCGAAGACCGGCACCATGACGTCCGGGTCAACCTCATCCTTTGAAACTACCTCTGACAGCAGCTCAGCACGGAACTCACCGTTCTCAAGTTCCTGAAGTTTTTTCTCCATGTATTCTTTCGAGGGTGTAACTCTGTCCTCGATCTTACCATGTACCCTCATGAAAGCATTGCGCAAATTGATGTAGTCTCCAGTGGGTATTGGCTTTGTCCACTCACGTGTATCCATTTCTGCTTCAACTTCAGCCTGACGCTTCTGTTTCGTCTGAGTCTCACGCCATGCACATATCACTGAAGCCAGCTGTGCCCGGGCTTCCAGTCCATCTGCTGCATCTGTTCCAAAAGAATCCCTCATGACTTGTATCAGGTCATCTTCAGATCTGAAGAAGGAGGAAAACTTCTGAATTGTTGTGATACCATTGGTGAAAAATGCAGCTTGCAAATCGTCCTCAACATCATTTCGTGACAGCGTAAATCTGAGGTCTGCTCCTCCTCTCTTCAGTGCCTCTTCACGAGGTATCGGTCCCGCCATCGTGCCGCTTGCGCTGTGGCAGGTTGAAAAGAAGAAGTTGCACACTGTTGTTAAAAAGTTTCCTATGTACAAGACTCCAAAATGAAAAACGGCAGCCGTGTCTATATCCGTTTGTTTTTAGTCAGAGGTAAAAACATGTGACTGTAAACGCAACTGATTCACCTGAATAACTCCGTCTACCGCTGAGCCTCTCTCCCGGGACATGCATTCATCACCTACCCCGCCTTCACAATAACTGAAAATGCCGGACACAAACCGGGCAGCCCTGCCGCCTATGTCAATTTTTCACTTTCAAATTGTGAAAAACATGGTCTTTTCTTCCCCGACCCACAATGCAATTTCAAATGATCAAGCCGCAAAAGAAAAATCAGACAGAGTGAAGGATTCAAACAGCATTCCAACCATACATGCATGTCATGCTCAGCTCTCAACCGGCTTGCTCTGCAAGACTCCATTTTGCCGCACCAGCTCCCGAGATCCCGGTCTCTATGAGACTGATCTTACTGGTGATCCATGTCTCCCACTGAGCTACTTCACTCAGAAGATATCCAGGTGAGATGCAAATGAAACTGAAATGTGAAACCACGTGTGTTCCTACCGACATGGCAAAGGTAAAGCATCAAGTCACCCCTAAATGCAAAAACCTACTCAGGACTGTCCTGTCCATCCGAGCTCGAGGCACTCCCGGAGCTAGATGTGGAAGAGGAGGATGACGAGTCCTCCAATGCCTCCTTCATGGTCGATTTTGGCCAACAAACCTTGCAGACATGTGTGAATGCTGATTCATCAGGAAGCTGAAAGTATTCAGTGGCAGATTTGAAAGTCATCTCACGCCCCATCCAGCATCCACCCTGACTCTTGTGCAAACGCCTGCAACGCCTGCCATTGTTCACAACCACAAACAAGGGTTTTCTTGTCTCCTTTTCAATGTTTGCCTTGCTCTCATTTGTTGTTGGAACTTCTTCATTCAAAGAAGGTCCTTCAGGCACTTCCACATCCACGCCCTCTTCGGTCAGGTGCCAGCCAGGTTGCACCTTGCATTGAAGTGAGTCCTCCAAATACGAAAGAATAAACTGCATCTGTTCAAAGGAAATAGGGTCACATCTATCTGACAACCAAGAGTTTGCACTCTCAACTATGTCCCTCTCATCCAACATGGCTGTGCGGTTTCCATCACGTAAGGCCCTGGCAAATTGTTGTTGCCGTCTGGAAACTATCCCGTTGTACATGCGTATGTAAGTGTCAGACCCATCTGGTTTCCACCTTCCCAGCATATCACGCTCATCCTTGTGAACCCTCAACAAAGCAAGTCCAGTTGGGAGTGTTGCTCTTTCTGAATGTTCTGTCCAGAACCCTGCCAATGCTGGGTCAATCAAGGGCTCCTGCGATCCAGGCCTCTTCGCCATCTTGCGCACTACAGCTGAATATGAAGTGATATCATTGTATGTAGCCATAGTCCTACGAAACCCTGACCACTCTTTGTTCAACTTCGGAAGCAAATAGTCCCTTTCAAAGGCAGCATGTTCTTTGAGCAAATCAAAACCTGTCTTCAACCAGAATGGACTAACCACAAAGCAGTGTTCTGAGACGCAGACTGGCAGCTCCTGCACCCTCTTCGTTGGACCCGTGGTCTTTGTCACACGCAGGATTGTTGTCATGCGTCCCCCATAGTACTTCAATTCCTTTGGAACAATACGCTGTATATCATCCCAACGCAAGGATGCCCATAGCTTCAGCAGTTTCAACCAAGCTATCAACCTGATACCCAATAACAGCGCCTCGTTCTCTACCAAGGACTCAAAGGATTCCAAGAAGACCGCAGGATATCTTGGGGCCCGCTTCGTCGGAGGTGCATCCTTCGACAACGTCTCAACTATGTAGTCCCGCACTGAAGCCACTACAGGTGATTCACCCACTCTCAAACGGACATCCATGCATGCTATGCGCTCCATCCATGTCATCGCCTTAACTATCAGCACAGGGATTGTTGGCCCACATGGTTCATCATACCTTGTGAACAAATATTCCACAAGTTCTCCAGGTACAGGATACTCCAATGTACCTTTCACTGCATTGAGCCACTGCATGAATGCCATCCAAGTCTTGACATAACGCTTGAGTGTGTTATACCTTGTCCGACCTGCCAATGCCATATGCAGATGACGATCACTAACGCAGTGTTCCAGATGCTCCAAAGCTGGTGCTTCAAATTTCTTCAATTCCAGGTACAGCTCACGTGACCAGTATTCTTTCTGTTGAGCTTCACGGTGTTTTCGTGCATGTTGTTCTTCCTCTGTCTGTGGTCTCCTCCGGGACGGCCTTGACTGCAGACCTTCGACCATCGCTTGCTCTGCCATTGGTGTTGCAACGACTACTTGATTTGAGAGAACCCTCCTATCCTGCAGCATCCTCTCATTTAGAGGGTCCAGTGTCAAATCTCCTCTCAGACGCTTTGCAACAGGCTCCGCACGCCTTGCATCGTCTATCCATGTTGCAACCTGCTCAATACGAAACGCTTCACAGATGATACCCAACTTGCGACAGAGTTGATTGGCAATGGTCTCAGCATCGTTCCTATTGAAAACTGCCAGTTTCTTGTCCGTCAGTCCGTAGCCATCCAGTGTTGACCACATGCTAGTGATAACATCTGTGTCATCCATGAGTCTTTAAAAAGACTGGGCACCGCCGAAACACCATCTAAAAAATTTGCACCAACCCAAAAATCTTGATCCACTAAACAGTTGAGGAATAATCATATAGATTCTTTGTGCTTTCGATTCCGGAAAGCAGTAAGTACAGATTTCACCAAAGGTTTGTTTTTACACTGCCGGTAAAAACTACAAACCCAGTATCCCATAAACCGGAAACCAAAACGAAACAAGTGGTTTAAACAGTTAAAGAGAAAGTTCACTTGTTGTTGTCGAAATGGTTTCAGGATACTTCCAAGTTACTTGTTGCAAGATCTTCCGCAGCAACGAGAACAACCGCGCGAGAGGACGCGTACCGAGGAGGAAGGTGCGCACAGTAAACACGCGTGGTAAAGACCGGGTAAGTGCAAGACATTAACCGGCTTGCACAACCAACTCTTACGTCCGAATACGCAGTCGCAACAGGTCGCGATTGCGGCTCATACGCTGGGTCTGCGAAAAACAACCATTGACTGAAAGAGAATGCAAAGTCCGACCAAAGTGCTTGATCATCGGCTGAAGTTGCACAGCCAAATTCCTTTGGGCACTGAACTACTGTGCTGGCCTCAGAGAAACCAGTCTTCGATTGTCTCGACTGCTCATTGGCCTCCCTCAAGGCTATGGCAGCTTGGGATGCTGCTTCAGCAGCTTTTGCCACTGCTTCCAAGATCTGCGTAGCTTGCGTGCCAGACATGTTCACGGCAGCAACAGCTCACCAAATCCAGTAAAAGCTGAGACCCCAATGCCAAACCCCAGGATCCAAGCTAACAGTCGTCACTGAAGTCCAGAAATTGCAAAAGGCTCTACCGTTGCAAATCAAACCAGTCCAATCTGCACGTCCAGGTCAACCCAAATGCAGTCAATGGTCCAGTAAAATTGCAAAGTCACTTCCAGGTTAGTTCACAGGCAATGATTGCAAGAAAGTACACCAAGGGAATTACTATGGCGCTACCTAAAACCCTTTGCTGCAAGTTCAGCAGCTGGTGGATAGGTTTCAGTCCACCTTTGAGCCCTCACCAGAGAGTTGCCAATCTGGATCCTTGGGCTCCGCTACCATGCGGATTTTCCTTGAGTTGAAAGCGCCTCAAAAGTCTCACCATGTTACACTGCTCGATTTGTGCAGTGTCAAGTGACAAACATGACTGCTATGGCATGTACATGTACTGATGCAAGGTGCGTTACAATTCTGCACAAACACAAACAACCTAAAACATGTTGAGTCACAACTGGCGGAAAAACGCTCGGTGAAATCTCTGCCGCGATCTTCCTTTTTTCCATTGCCAATTTGATCCTGTGGTTGTGTTCGACAGCGCCACAACCAAAGCAAACAAGTCATGGTTGATGGATGCAATTCACCCATCCTATGAGTAAAGATATTCGGCAAGAATATCACAGCTGAAGCGGGTACTGCATCGAGGTACCCATGCTCTAAGGTAGAAAACAAAGGTACAAAAAGCAAGCAAAAATGAAATTTTGAAATCATGTTAGAGCATGAGTGTCGGTGTCCTACGGACGGATGCAACGGAAGCTGAAGAAACCGATAAGACCCACGGGAGCTCTTCCTTAGCTACTTGCGTAAGGTCAACACACAGCTCCAAAAGGAAATTCGTGCGGATAAGCGGCTCTGGGGCACGGAGGAGAAAATGCGTGGGTCCCAGACTTCGGAAGAAGCGCATCGGGTTGTGTTAGAGTTTAAACAGAGAGAAGCTACGGCTCGCGCCACGGCTTCTGCGGTCTATACGGTGGGAGACCCTACCAAGGAGGAGAGGCCCCGAAAGGATAAGGACAGATCGAAGAAGGAGAAAACGAAGGCCAGGCAGCCCCCGGACACCAATGTGGCTGCCGCGGCTGGTGATCCGAGAAAGGACAGGATCTGCTGGGATTTCCGGAATCATGGGCCTTGTGGAAAAGGCCGAGGCCGCCCATTCTCTCACGACAAGATACGACAAGGATCTGCGTAAAAGAGAGCTGGAAAAGAAGGGATCAGGAAAAGGCGCTGATGGTTCGTATCCGGCAAAGAATACAGGACAGCGTGCGGAAAGTAGAGGCAGAGACGGGAAGAAGGGTCGAGGTAAGAGCCGAGAAGCCTCCCGCGGGGTTTCCCCGAAAGATTGCCGGGCGGACAAAGGCCAGAAACTTGCCCTTTCTTCCACAAAAAGGGAGCCTGTAAGAAGGGGTAGGCAGATGTGATATGTCTCATTCGCTTCCAGTCATCACTACTACAACCGGATGCTAGCGGGAGCGGCCTGGCGAATCCTTTCCATGCCTTTACGGTCGTCGCCTGCGGTCCGAGCATAGCCAGCGGCTCTCCGG